GCAATTTTGTTCCTAAGCGTTTTAGTGAAAGTTTTTGCTATGGATTCAACTCAACCAGGTAAGATTTACCAAATATTTAGTTATAATTCGATTTTGCTATTAAAAGTGCTAGGTAAAAACATACCTTTTTTAATTAAATAAAAAATCGGAAATTTTACATTGATTGAACATTTTGAAATATCATTGAGTACTATTGAGTGAAAAAAACTTCATGTCGTTATATACTACTTATTCACAAACCAGCCCACAAGAAAATCTGCGGCCCCAATGCGCCCCCTTTGTTTGTGTTCCACTTGAATAAATTCAATTTTTATTATGAACATAAAAAATATATATATATATTTTCTCTTCTTTTCACAGGGACTTCTGGTTTGAAAATATATGGTAGAAGATCGCTTTATTCTATCATCCAACGCTCGAATGGATCTAATTTTGTTCAAAAGTTGGAATCCATGGAGCATGAATTTCTTAATTCTTACCACAAAGACAACACAAGAAAAAATGAGGCAAAGAAAAAATTGGCAGCTATCAAGTATGAATTTAAAAAGCGGTGGTTAGCGTCTCGAAAAACGGCTGGTAGATTCGAGAAAGCTAACAGTGATTGGCTCAATGGGACAGTTATTTTACCTGCGGCAGGTACTTCTAACTTGTTTATATTTAATTAGGGTTATGGCTTACAAAACTAAGACGTGAGTTTGGCTATAATTTTGTGCATAAATGTACTAAAAATATCTCATTTGAAAAGTTTTGTTCTGGGGAAAAAAAAATATGTTTTAGATTAGAATGCTTATTGGTAATAATTTAATGTACTTACTAAATATTTAATGAATTATTGTAATCATGTTTAGTGGTTAGTATTCAATATTATATTCTTCTTTATAGCAATAAGCCCAGGGCGCCCTCAAAAAGCATTTAATTCTTCAAGCGAAAGAAGTAAACGGAGGAAAACACAAGATCTTCGTCTAAAAGAAGCCTCCGAACTTACGTTTGCAACACAAATTAAGTTACTGGAAACTGGACGCACAGATGCTGCTAAAGTCGTACAAGACTTGACGAATAGCCCAACAAGGGCTAAAAAATACAGAGCAGCACTGAAGATTGCAAACACCAAAACCCCCCCGTCAACTAACGCTTTGTCTATTATTACCGAAGCAGGCCTTACTAGATCGCAATACGAAATAGTAAGAGCCTCAAACAAAATTTTTTTTCCATGCTACACAATTTTACAAAAAACTAAAAAAGACTGCTATCCAAAACCAGAAGCTTATCGTATTACATCAACTTGTGCCGAAGTGGACCTGCAAGCACTCTTGGACCACACAGCTTCGCGATTAATTTAGGATTTAGAGGAAGCTGTCAAAACACTCAATGAACACGAGAAGTCTTCCCTAGTTTTAATTAGCAAATGGGAATGTGATGGATCTCAAAAGGTGCAATACACAATGAGATTTGAAACAGACGCAGATTCGGACGCCAACATTTTTCAAAGTTCACTTGTGCCCCTTCAATTATTAACTGGAAGTGAGAAAAAAGTTGTGTGGCAGAATCCAAAGCCATCTTTGCCGCGTTACTGCCGACCTATTAGAATGCGTTTTATTAAAGAGTCTAATGACATCACGGTTGATAAAATCAACTACATTAACGGGAAGATAAGTGTTTTATTACCTACAAAGATAAAAGATGTGTCCATAAAACACAAAATGCTTTTCACAATGATAGATGGGAAGGTGTGCAACGCGGCAACTCACACAAAATATTCGATGAGGTATTATTTATGCAATTTAACTTCAAAAGATTTTAATAACCTCAGTTTAAAGAAAGAAGCAAACAAAGAAAACTTAAGCTTTGGACTGTCACTGCTGCATGCAAGAATCAGATTCTTTGAATCTATGCTACACGTAGCATATAAACTCCCAGTTCAAAAGTGGAATAAAAAACTGACTAAAGAAGAACGTGACCTCGTTTATTTAAAAAAAACTGATATTCAAAAAAAAATTTAGGGTGGAACTTGGCCTTTTAGTTGATATGCCGAAAGCAAATTTTGGAAATTCCAATGATGGCAATACGAGCAGGAGATTTTTTGATAACCACGAATTATCTGCAGAAATTACAGGCTTAGACAAAACGCTTCTTTACCGTCTAAAAGTAATATTAGATGCACTCTGCAGTGGCTATGCTATTAATTTGCCAGTTTTTGATAAATATGCACAGGAAACTGCTGAACTATATATAAAGCTCTATGAATTTTATCCAATGTCTCCTACCTTACATAAAATATTAATACATGGATCTGAGGTTATCAAAGAATCCATTCTCCCGATTGGCCTTCTTTCAGAAGAAGCGGCAGAAGCGCGAAATAAGCACATAAGGGCTTATCGCTTATTTTATGCGCGGAAATTTTCACGGGAGGCCTGTAATCGAGATGTGATTAATAGACTTCTTTTAACCTCGGATCCAGTCATTACTGGAATGAGAGAGAATCCCCCAAAAATTTTTGGTTGTTTCCTGCTGTAGTTCTAAGCCTGTTACTTCCCTATTATTTTACATAGGTTGTTAAACTTCTCGTTTGCAGTTATATATCTACTGCATGTTAAAAACAAATCCCAAGCCTTCATTAAATATTTCATTTGAAAAGTGTCTTGCATTATTTATATTACGAAAACAAATTTTTTAAACATGGCAAGACTTAAAGAAGAATATTAAAAAAGTTCAACATTCTTCAGCAAATACAGCTGTGAAACAGGTGGGGGACCTAGTTCAAACGATATCACCTCTGATGAATTAAGTATATTAAATATACTTGATAAGCAAAATATAGAAGGCAACTCTGAGACTGAAGAATCTATTGTAAATATGGAACACAATTTAACTTTAAGGTGAAGGGGGAGAAAAAGTCCTTTATATCTCACAAGGAAAGTCAATGTTTAATTGTTTAACAAAACATTGAGTGCGACCGGTTTCGAAGTGTCATCACTTCATCTTCAGGCTCGCCTAGTGGAAAGGAGAATATGTGGTGTAAAGTGTGTTAACACTTAGAGCAAACGATATATAAAATAGTAAAAAAGAGAAAACTCACCATACTCTCCATCCACTAGGGAATACTACAAAACAAGTTTCATCAAATGTTGGGTGAAATAAATTGTAAAATGAACAAAGTTTACAAGTAATAAAAAGTTAAAAATATTTGAAAAACAAATATTAGTCAATTGAAATAGTAAAATTTAAAATATTCAAGACTATACAAAACAAATCACATACATTGTTTTACGAATATTTATTTAATCATTCTAAAAAAATTAATCAAATTAATGTACTAAACCATTGAGTAAAGGAAAATAACAAGAGAAGCAACGCTTATGCACCGACCGTTCTCTGCCAAATAGATGGCGAATACGGTCATTTGGTTCTCAGGATTTCAGTCGACTGCTTATCGTCATTTAGTGAAGACGTTGGTACTTCATAATAGAGCTCTGATCGATTTCGGCGGTTATTTACAAGATTTTGTTTGTTTTGATTTTCATAATTTGTGACAATGAACGTTACGGCAACTCATAAGTGCGTTTTTGTTGGTTGTTCTAATAGAAAAAGAACCAACATAAACATCAGTTTTTTCAAGGTTTCTGTAAAAGATAACAATCGGGCAGTAGAATGGCAGATAAACTATAGAAATATTTATGGTCGTGGGAAGTCTGACGAATAAATCAATTTGTGAAAAACATTTTTTAATAATTAAACACTCAATATTCGTGTCTTTAATTTAACATTTCCTAATAATTAAACAACTTCCTTATACTCCAGCGGAAATTGCAAAGCAAACCTTTTTAGACTCATGAATTGCAAAATCTATGAATTAATTATCATTTTCTTTTTAATTTTAGTAGATCCGTCGTAGAAAAAATATATTTTTAAAAATATTTTTGTTAATCTCGCGAACAAACTGTTCTTTCATTAAAAAAAATTGTAAATTTCATTACTTGTAATATACATTTAAATGTGTTAAAGTCTTAAAAAATTCTTTGACTACGAAACCTAGGCGCCTTTATGAAAGCAAGCGCAAAATGCCCACAAATAGTTCGGATGATGAGTTAGAGACTTCTGAATTATTTGCTAGCCATTCCATGACATGCATATTAGTTTGAACAGTACCTATATTATTTTACAGATTAACAACGAACAATAACGCTATGTTCACCAGTTGTGAGCCAAAGAAATAGCCCAAATTCATGTGCATCAGAAGATTCTGAAGTTAGTGATCGCATTTTAAAAATAGTCAGTCCAACTAAAGCGATTTTAAAGAAAAAGTGCCAGATATTTTCAGTTAAAATAAAAAACATGAAAAATAAATTAAATGAAAGAAAATCCAAAGAAATCTACTAGCTTTTCTATGGGGTCAATTCTGTACAATTTGTTAAGATGTAGAAGCTCAGAAGATCAAACACTTATTAATAGGCAGTTGTTTCATACAAAAAACAAAAGTGATCACAAGCCGAAAAAGACCTCGCTCTTTCACTGCATTACAAGTCACCTGGAGCCTGCAAATTTCTACTGCAAAATCCTAAATTTATTTTTCCGTCTACTATAACAATTAGTGGTTGGTTGAAAATATGTAGTTTAAAAAGGGGTGTAAAAATAACTTTAACAAGTAAGCTTGCAAACATCATGACATCAAGAGAAAAAACATGCGTTGTAATGTTTGATGAGCTCGCGTTAAAAAAATGCCAGAATTTAATCAATCCCAAGACATAATTGAAGGTAACGAAGATCTAGGAAGTTTGGGAAGAGAAGACAAACTAGAAAATACAGCTTCAGTATTTTTAATTCGCGGGTTATATTATAATTGGAAAATACCTTTTGGATATTTTGTTTCTGCTGGACCTGTCAAGAGCAATTCATTGCAAGAATTGCTTAAGAGTGTCGTCACAGCACTGAAAAAGTTAACTTTCGATACGAAAGTTTTAGTATGTGACCAAGGATTAAATAATCGCTAGGCTTTAAAATTGATGGGTGCTACAAAAACAAAACCTACCATTGAAATTGGAGAACAACTTCTTTTTACCGTGTTTGATGAACCTCGTTTATTAAAAAGTCTGCAAAATAATTTTATGAACAAGAAATTGCAATTTGTTGTGGAAGGAAAATATTTTTCTTGGACTGACGTTACAAATACATATATTGATGAGAGGAGTATCACTACTAGGACAATGTTAAGAAATTACGCCTTGTCACATTTCTCCGTCAAACTTTCAAAAGATGCGTGTAAAATATTTTTTAAGATCGTTGCTGCTCCAATTATAATCGTTGTGTCGACAAAACAATTGAACAATTCTACGTCATTAAACACAGTAGAATTTATTGAAAATATTAATAAGATTTTTGATTCATTGAATAGCAGAGTATTACAATACCCCAATCCATTTAAAGGACCATTATCAATTTACACATCTATTGATACATTGGAAAAAGGCATAAAATATTTCCAAAGCATAGATGTGTTGGAAAACAATAAAATACGAAACAATATATACTGTTTTGAAGGATTTCAATGGACATTAACATCTATTTCATTGTTATGGGAAAACGTCAAATCCCAAAGAATCACCTATTTATTGACATCATTCCTAAATTCTGTTATTAAAAATAGAGATGGTTATAATTCCACTCTAATAGTACGTCAGTGTCAGATAGCTATTCAACAAAATATTAATATTCGTCTTCAAATGGCTACGGATACAGGAATTGTCAGATTTGTGAAAATGAAGCACTTGATATTGTGGAAGTTAAAGAAAGTACACTTCATTTTGAAAAAAACAGAGAATCAAGAGGAAGCTGAAAAAAAAAAGATCAAGGGGAAGTTTAAGTTACGACAGGGGAAGTTGAAGTTACGACAGGAGAAGTTGAAGTTACGACAGGAGAAGTTTTGGAAAAAGAAAATGTATGTTTGAATGCAAAACTTGTCAATAACGAAACCACAAGCATGAATTTGGAAACTTGCTCTAATGTTTATGTTGCCGGATATTTGCTATACAAATTTCAAAAATAATTTAATTGTAAAAAATGTTACAGCTCGTTTATTAAAAATAATCTGTTATTTTTCTTCAATTTTCATTATTTTAGGGTATTTGTCAATTCTTTTACGAGTATTATAAACCCTCTTGTTTATTATCAGATATATAATCGCTTCCATATTTCGTATTTCCATTTGTTCCTGAGGAGAAAAAAGATCTCAAATTTAGCTAGTCAGAATTAGCTCGTGGTCATCATCAACCTTTGTGGGAACAACAGGTCGTTGAACCAGAGGCCCTTATCGTAAACTAGCTACGGACAACATACCGGTGAGATCTGTCTACTCAGCAGTTAGAAAGTCTCAGTTATATAATCTGACTATTTAATTGTACAGATACTCATAAAAGTCAATTATTTTTATTATTAACATCTTAGCCTTTTCATATTTTTTTATTACTATCAATTACAATCTTAGCCTTCAGCTTATTTTTTTATTATTATTACATCTTAGCTTTCAGCTTATTGTATTTATTATTAACTAATAAAGATTAGTTAATATTTATTGCTGTTTAATTTCCTCAAGGTTCTCATAATAATAGACCATCATTACTTCATTATATTTTTCTTTGTTATCACCTGTTTCATTTTTAAATAAAAGAAATTTCAAAAGTGATGGCGCCCTAGGGCTATAATTCATTAGTACTAGCCTGAATATTCTCCGCCAACCTCACCTACTGTGGTAGCCTGTGAATTCATTACAAAAAATTCGCATAATTTGGGAGCGATTGGCAGATTTCATTTTTCTCAAAAAAAAAAAATATAATAAACAAAATAGAGCCATTATAAAAAAAATCAAAAAGCGGGTCCTACCCTGAGCGGGTAGCGCAATAGTCACCTGATCGGTTACTCATCGGGATTTACAACTCAAAAACAGATGCGATTTGCAAATTTCTCTCTCCGCCCGCCCGGTATCGAAAGACGTAGCCGATTGTTTTTCTAGTGCGTATTGCTTTGTAGGGTTGTTCACCTCGCGTTCAGAGAATTTTATTTATACCTACTTATTTTTAGCAATTTCTTTGCGTTTTCTTAGTGTTCTTTTGAGTTTAGTTAGGTCTTAGTAGTGTTGTTTTAATTTATTAGTTAGTTCATAGTTTAGTATTCTGGAACAATGGCAATGCCGCACGCGTACGATCAAAACGAATTAACGGATATGCTTCTAATTTATAGAGAAGCTCAGCAAAATGCCAGGGAAGCAGTAAGAATTTATGCTGAACGTTTTCCCCAAAGAAATCACCCTCGTCATCAAAGGTTTATCGCATTGGTACAACGCTTACGAGACACCGGATTCATTGTACCCAAGCGTGGACGAGATGGAGGTCCTGGACGTCCTTTAAGAATACGTCAGGCTGAGAAAAATATCTTGGATTTACTTGAAGATGATCCCTCAACAAGTACCCATAAAATAGATCGTCAGGTCAACGTTTCCAACAAAGTTGTTCGGCGTACTTTAAGGGAGGAACAGCTGTATCCGTATCACTTCAAACGTGTGTAAGCCCTGTTAACAGACGACTATCCACGACGTGTGCAATTTTGCGAGTGGTTGCTACAGCAGTGTCGCGAAAATTAAAATTTTTCGCGTTATGTGCTGGTTTCCGATAAAGCACAGTTTTCGCGTGATGGCATGAACAACATCCGTAATACGCATATTTGGGATGTAGAAAACCCACATGTCATAAAGCGAACACATTTTCAGCAGTGATTCTCGATAAATAATCTATGGGCAGAAATAGTAGGCAGCTTATTAGTAGGTCCGTACGTTCTACCTCCTAGGATGACCGGCGAACATTATCTACAGTTTTTGAGAAATGAACTTCCCGGTCTGCTTGAAGAAGTACCATTACACATACGACAACGTATGTGGTTCATGCACGACGATGCTCATCCACGGGTTAGTTGGTGCAGGAAGAATGGGAGGGAATGCCTTTGCTCAAGGGGCAAGTGTTATGCGGTCTAAGCTAGCAGATTATTTTGTTAACTCAGCACCAATTGATCCACAATGGTCTAAATAGTTTTCACTAATATCAACTTGTTTCTATTTTATTTGATAATTAAATTATATTAAATTTCAATATGTAGTTTTATTATCAAGCAATAAATAAAATGAAATGTCACTCTTGGTTTTATGGAACCATCAGTCCTGACTAGAATAAATGAGTATTTTCACATCTAGCTTTGCTGTTTAACGTTTTAGCTATTTATTTTAAGACAAGGAGTAAACTATTTGTCAACAAAATCAATTGAATTGAATCCACTTTTCTCTTTCGGCATTTACCTTTAAGTCAGCGTCAATAATTATCTCTAAATTGAATGACACATAAAAATTAAAAAAAATCTTTATTATTTTACAAGAACTAAATGTCACTTAATATTTAATCATTACAATGCAAATCATGTAATGAATAGACTTTAGTAATGTAGTGTAACCCACTTAAACAAAAAGAGACAACTAATCTTTCTCTCTATCTTATAAAAGTATGATAAATAAAATGGCGGGTGATCGACTGTGAAGTGACTTGGACACCACGAGTGACCGACAGAAAGATTCGTTATCTATTGGCTACTTACGTGTTATTGAGGGAGTGGTAAAGGTTAAAAGAAAATATCTATTGATTTATATCTAATCTTTATTCAAAATATTATAGATGAAAGAATCAGAAAGTAAAAATTTATAAGTATATAAAATGTATTTATAAAGATTAAATATAGGTCTGGTTCGGTGCAGTAAAATAATTAATTTATCAAATGAGAGGAAAGAACCAGCAAGAAAACCCCAAAATCAAAATAAATACAATAAAATCAATCAAACGTCAATTTTGGTACAAATGGCAAATTAAGTACATTTAAAAAAAAACACACACACATTTAATTACTTGATGATTTAGTTAAACACAGGAAAATATATGAAATGAGAACTCGGATAAATCTTAGTCAAAAGAAAACTACAATTATATTGTCCAAACGACGCAAATACAATTACTAAATAAGTGCAAACGCTACTCTCGCCGAATATATTTAATCCAAAAATAAACCCGGCAATAGTCGTAATTCAACAACAACCTCGGTTAACTCATTCATCGATATATTTTTATTTACTTGAACGGCTGCAGCGATAAAAACAGCGTTGTCGACATATCCAAAAACTTTCAGCGTGAAGTGCGTGAACATTTGGACGAAACATTCTCAAATCAGTGGATTGGACGAAGTACCCAGTAAATTGGCCACCGAGTTCTGCGGATTTAAATCCACTGGATTTTTATTTATGAGGACACTTAAAACAGTTAGTGTCCTGCCAGCCGACAGAAGTTACAACACTTCAGCAACTCCAGGAGCGCATTGACAACGCAGTGACAAATGTTCGTCAAAACAACTATTTAACAACATGCACTGAATCGTGGTTACGTCGAGCAATATTGTGTGTACAATGTGGGGGCAATAATTTCGAACAATTTCTATGAAATTCAAGCCATTTTCTACGTCAAAATAGGTGAGCTATTATTTTTTTTATTGAAAGTTTTTTTATTTTATAATTTGAAAAAAAAAACGGTTTACTTTTATAATTTAGAGGCCATATGGAATAAATAAATATTAAATAAATTTGAAAAAGATATCATTTGTAATTTATTAAATATTATTTTGTCGATTCTAAGCAAACTTACGGAGAACTCGATCGTAGCGCCCGCGAGTCGAGGCGACCCAATCGCTGTGCAGGACCGTACCTGTTTAAAATTTTTAATTATTTTTATTTTAAATATTTTGGAAAAATGAAATTGCGAATCGGTCTCAAATTATGCGAACTACCACCCCTACAAATTTAGACGCTAAGTATATATTTGTGACATGATAGACATATTGTGAAAATTTTTAAAATCCAACTTCAGAAGAAATTAAAAAAATATTCCAATATGTTTTGAAGGTTTTAAAGATGTTAGAATTGTTTTAGAGTGTACTGATATTTATGTCCAAAAATCTAAATGCTTGTGCTTTCACAGTGCAAGTCTGCACAGACCGTAAAATTTATGACGTGGGTGTCTCCGGGTGGTCTTATAACTTTTGTAAGTAAACCCTTGGGGGTAGGGACTCTGATCAGATCTTTAAAAAGAGTAGAATAATTAATAAACTTCAAGAGGGGGTAAACTTATGGTTGATAAAGGCTTCTTAATTGATGATATATGTATTACACATAAAATAGAGCTTATTAGACCGCCTTTTTAAAAAAAGAAAAAGCAGTTGAGTGCCGAATAATCTATATTAAACACTAAACTAGCTTCAGCTAGACTCCGTATACAAAGAAGAAACTAAAGGATTAAAGTGATTAAAATATTGAATGAAAAACTTCTGTAGAATTTGACTCCCCAAATTAAGAATTATCTGTGCTATGACAAATTTATCTAGCCCAATAATGGCAAAAAGCAGATTTATTACTAGTGAAAAAGTAGAGTTTTAAATTTATAAATTTTACATGTCATTGTTTTAGTTTGGGCTTGTAATAATAGTAATTATTTTATGTATTTTTATTTTATTAATATGCTATTTCTTCTAAATGAATCGGTCATTTGAGAAACGACACGTCACTTTTCTGGCCATTTTGTTTTTATATCAAAAATACAATATTTAAAGGTAAACACATCTATCCACGCAGTAACATTACTTGCCTGATATACATTCGTATGACTTCTGCATCACTTAATATCTGATTTCATTTAGAAACAACACAAGTCACTGACATGTGCTCTTTCTAAACGCAGTGTAAATTATTTAAAACCATGGCATCAACTGCCGAAAGTGATTGTGATAGTGTTCCGACTATTTAAATAAATAAAAAACGAAACAGAATGTTATATAAGTGCGAAATAATAAAAAATGCTAGAATAATTGGTAA